GAGGTTTGCTAAGGATGTCCGTGGCCAGGTATGGCGAGGTTCAACATTTGTCGGCATGCATGTTTCGTAGAGCTATGCGTCTTCTGGCAGCGAAAATCTCAGCTATGCTAAGGGTAAAGCCCAAATGTCCTGCAGCCCGCTCAATTGAGATCCTCGCAGCAGGCACGAGAAGACCTTGGGCCTCATCGCTGCCAAAAAGACTGGTGGTGACGCTGCGCGTGGCGATGCCGCCTGTCTGGCAACGATGTGGTTGAACACCAGTGATATTGCTTCTGCATTCCCCCACTGCTTTATCAACACCTGAGTAGGGGCGCTGCACTGGCCAAACGAACTTCAGTCTATAGTCTAGTTAGTGTCCGTGCTTGCCCAGTCACATGCTGTCGAGGGCTGGTCCGGGATGGGCAGCTGCCGTGAGTGTTCCCGCTTTTTTTCCTGATGAGGGGAAGAACATTGCGATGTGTGTAATTGACACAGTATCACTACAGTACAGGTGTAGCCCTTGCAGGAAAGAGCAACAGGGATGCTTGGGCATTTCACGGCTGGGACAGTCTCAGGTAACTCTAGAAGTAAATCGCGGAGCAAGCGAGGGTTGAGGGTGTTGGGCAGTCCAAGTGCCTCTGAAGGTCATCGTTTTTTTCGATTGCCATGTGAAGCCACGGGACGGCTGGGAGGCCGGGCAGCAAACCCCCTACATGTCGCCCGAATTCTCAAGGGGTGCTGTTCAAAACGCTCAATTTGTTTCAAGCCGGGCAGCTCGTACATTCAGTCATATTTGCTGCAGGACGCCTTCCTCAAACAAATGCATCGTGCCGGCGATCACCGAACCCTGGTGGTGCCAACTATCACAGCACTGGATCCTGACACATGGGAGGAAAATGCTGGCTCATCCAGCCAAGCATGTTACATGACCTGGAATGCAGATTTCACGTGGCTCTTGAACCCGGGACGGGACGTACCAGTCATGAGCGGAGGCTTGCTGGCAATCAGCAAGCGCTGGTGGGAGGAAACTGGTGGCTATGACAGTCGTATGATCGCTTGGGGAGGCGAGAACATAGATCAGTCTCTCCGCAGCTGGCTCTGTGGTGGACGCATTGAGGTAGCAGAAGGAGCATTTGTGGCACACATGTGGCGTGACCCGAACAATCCCAAAACGCAGTTGAAGTATACTATGAGAACAGAGGATGTCATGCGCAACAAGGCACGGGCAGTTGCGGGTTGGCTTGGCCCATACACCAACAAGACCTTCACCTTTCCGGAGTACGAGGCATTTTTCAACGGCGAGAACAGCATTGGCGACCTCAGCAACTTCGAGCAGTTGCGGCACAAGCTGCACTGCGCGCCCTTCTCTGCTTACATACACCGGTTCTCATACATCTACGTGGATGGCGGATTGATTCCTGAAAAGGTTTTTCAAATACAAGAGGTGTCATCTGGACTCTGCTTGGATCGAGAGGCAAGAGAATCCAGGAGTCACGGGGTGATCATGAGCCCATGTGTGGATGTGGATGGGAGCCAGGGCCGCATCATCATGTGTTGTCGTGTTCTGCTGCGTGCACACTACTGGAATTGTGCTGCTGTCAATCTTGAAATCGGAGATCTATTTTGACCTCATTGCCACTCCAATCTTCGATCTTGATTTCATGATCTGAGGAACAGAGGCGTCCTGGACACGCAGCTCTGGCATCCAGGCAACCGCAATCGCAAAAGGGAAGGGGGCCCCTGCTGCAGCGGCCTCCTGAACTGGAACTTCTTGCCCCTGGCATGCACTGCATGATCTATCACACTGAGCATGTGTGCGTATGCATCAAGAATCATCAAGATACTCATGGTGAATTCCATGATAAGCAGAGATTGCTTTGCCGGGTGTCGCATCCAAGGCAGTGTTTAACTTCACATGGTCCACACAGTGAGCTTTTCACGGAGGAGTGCGTGATCTCTGGTCACAGTTCCTTGGAGCCATTCCCCACACTGCTTTCTAGGCAACCTTGTCATGTCGATCGTATTCGGTCATGTCTGTCTGCCACCCAATTCCGCAGCGACATGCGGTCATTAACTCTTTGTTCTGTCCCCCTCCACAGTTGCACTCTGCCTTGTTGCGAACTGTCTGAGGTGTGCACCAGGAGTTTCAGGTGCCCGAGGATGGTTGGCGTGAAATTAAACTAGTGGAGAACTAGGCAGCTAAGAGCGAAGGGTTGCCTAAGTCACTTTGCCATTTGCACATTCGACCGCAAGCCTGTCCTCAGGACGGCGAGGGGCCCTTAACTTGGCGCGGCGAGAACTGTGCCCTTCCCGAGGTGAAGACCCAGGAAGCGGAGAAGCACCTGAGGGCTTTAATTTGATACAAACGCAACCCGAAATTCAAATTTGGCAGAGTTGCAGAGTAACTGCTCCGCTTCGGAGAATTAAATTTAGCATCAGCAAGGGTCTAGGTCGAGTGGGTGGCCCTTCTAGGAAGAAAATCTTCGAACCAACTTGGTCCAAATTTGGTAGTTCCATTTATTGAGGCCACATTTCTGCACACTTCTGCGGCACGGTGGTTTGTGTAGGAGATATGACAAGCACCAGAAGGCCCAAAACAGTTCCTGTGGCTTCTTGAGAGGAGCAGGAAATAGCATGTTCAGAAAATAATGCAAAAACGTTCGGTTTTCCGGAGGTTCCCGCTGGTCTGGTTCTGCAACGGTTCAAGTAGAGAATAACATGCAGTTGCTTTCAGATATCTTCAAATGCAAAAGGAAGGCAATTTGGATTGCTTGCCTTGTGACTCATACTCATGATCGAATTATGATTGAGCTCTTGCTAGTGGATCCTGACGATAGCCTTTATCTTCTTTCAACTGACTTTGCAGTGAATCGTGTTAACATCTACACACATCGCTAGTACTTGCATACAACGAGGCATGATCGAAGTTTTGCTGTTTGTCATAATATGCGGTCAGGAGCAAGCACCAGAAGAGCTAGCTCTCCAGGCCTGTGGTGTGCGGGTGCACAAAGTGGCAACCGGTGCCTCGGAGCTGAGACGTGCTGAGACGAAGTAAGTTAAGAAGTGCAGTTGTCAGAAAACGCCAAAAACCTTTAGACATCTGAAGTTCAAGGACTGCAGCTGATGGCCGATCATGGTGAGTCACGTACGTGCGTCACAGTCAGCATGGCTTCGGCCAGTACTGACTGGCGCCTTGGATTGGCTGAGTGCCAGGATCGTTTGCCTGCTTGCTTGCACAATGTTTGAGCGTTCGTCAACGCTTGCGTAACCGAGATGATGTAAGGCTTGGACACGGAACCCAAGATGGACCCCAAACGCCGTGAAGCGACACACCTTGAAACCGTGTAAAGCGATACCTGAAGAGCACCCCCAAGGCCGCGAACCGCAGGCAGCCATCAAGTGTAGACAGAGCTTCACATGAACTCCCGGCCCGGGTTTGGATCAAAGGGTTTGGACACGAGCCCCTCTCAGGCAATTAGTCAGCTAGTATCCTTCAAGATCGTTCCCAATCATATCCTCCAAGCCAACTACATTAACGCCGCCGCCACTGCTGCCACAACAAAGCTTTGTTCGTTCACCGTAAGCGTGGCGGATGCAATTTGGGTGTGTCCAGTCCCGCATTGGCCAGTAGGCATGTAGATTTTGCGAGGTATGTCCAAAAGGAACATTCAGCTTACTTTTTCCCATGGCCCATTCATTGAATGGAATGTGTTTTTGGAGTCAAGCCAGAGTCACGTGCTAGGCTAGTATTCTCAGCAGGTTTGCAGCTGGAATCATGATCTCGCGCCAGCGAGTAATCGGAATCATTCAAAGTTTTGATTGTTTCGCTGGTGCGAAGGTTTAGAGTTTCGGGACACTTTCAAGATCTTGTAAGTTGTTGAAAATGAACCTACGATTTGTACTGGAATTATCTCACAAGTTTTCGGATTTCATCTCTATTGGGCTTTGCAAAGGACAGCCTTGATTGCCACAATTTTGTCTACATGTTCGTCCCCTCTGGCATGGAGATGCTAAAAAAACATGTTGAGGCTGCTTCGCAATGGTACCCGTGTGAGCTTGTGAAATTGTCAACCTTCTGGCCAGCAGGATGGGGCATTGTTTTTGCTCCTCTGCCAATTCGGGAGATGTCTGCAGCTCACTGAAAGAGTCACATGCCCGATATGTCGTAGTCTTGCAAGTCGTCACGTCAAAAAAACTTCGAATATCCAAGTCAGTTTTTTGCAAGCACAATGCCTCCCCTAGTACTTGACTCATGCATCCAACTTTGAGATAGGCAGCGCTTGCTCAGTTGGCACGGCATTGGATCCAGAGAAAAACACCTGAAGCTTCTGCGGAAATCCGCGGGCAAGGGCAAGCCGTGGCAGGAGTGTGACCCACAGACACCCACAGACGAGCAAAGGCACTCACTTCTTGAGAGCAAAGGGCGACAGGAAAAGCCATTTCAGTTCAAAGCAGGGCCGGGGGACATGGACAGCCCTGATTTGAAAGTCTTGAAGCGGTTTCAAGTGAGATCGCTGACAACATACTCCATTGAAATCAAAATCTAGGGTCACACCCTGTCGGCCCTCTCGCATGGAGCCTCTGCAAGCATCATGGAGAAAAATCAAGCAAGGGCTCAAGGATCCAGATGGCAGTAGCTCCTTGAACACGACCACGAGCGCAGCAATGTGGCCAGCAGTGAGTCCACTCCTCATCTATTCCACTCCTCTTGAGAGGTCCAAGCTAGACACTGACGACAACTCAAGCCGCGAGAACAGAACATGACACAAACAGGCTGTGGCAGCATGCCTCCACTCAAGTAGCATGAGACGCAATAAACCCAGGGCAACGCAAAGCAGCCCATAGAGCTTCATTACATAAATCAGAGTGGGCCCGAGCATCTCGTTTTGGGGTGCCAAGTGCTATCAATCACAGCATTAATGCTGGCTGACCAATAAGGGGCAACTTGCAGGGAGGCGCAAGGACGGAAAGAAGAAACACAGCAAAACAGTTATGCGCTGTTCGCGCCACAGAAGGTGTGCATGATTCGTCGATTCGATGCATTGACTGAAGAGGCTGTTACAGTAGTTGTTCCAAGCACCCCATCCGAAGGATGGAAACAACTTGCAGATCTTCGTCTCGGAAGATCTTCCTGATGAGTCGGTGAGAGTTAAGCTGCTGAACAGCGACATTTGCTTAGATTCTTCTTCTGGCAAGGAGCTTGTCCCTTACCCATGCTATGCAGATAAGCAGGAGAACCCCAATCAAATCTGGAAAGTGCAGAAGTCGCGCTTGGTATGGGAGGATGCCGCCCAGAGTATTTGCGTTGATGCGTATGGCAGTCCCAGCAGCCTGCGTCTTCGCAAGCTGCCGCCCCAGCCTGTTTGGTCCCTTGCTGCATGCGCCAACAAGCCTGGGCAACGGCTACAGAGGCAAGATGTGAGACCTGATGGCACGTTCTGGCTGCGAGATCCGGATGCTGGTAAGTGCTTGGCAGCGCGAAAAGTGCCCTCTTTGGAAACGCCGCTGGTTCTGGAACCCTGCACTGATAGGCAGCGATTTCGTGAGCTCCGTGAGCGAAATCAAGTGCAACATGTCTTAACTGGCTACTGTATTGATGCTGGCAACGATGCGCCGATCCTGTACCCATGCCACGAGCCGAAGGCACTGCGTAAACAACGATTTCAAGTGAAGGACACACCTGGCTGGCTTCAGCTGATGCGTGGCTGGGAGGACAACGGCCGCAAGCGTTTTTTTGAGCGATGCCTGGACCGTCAGCCTCAACCGCCCATGCGAGTCCTGCTGGGCAAGTGTAGCGAGGCTGAGGCCAAGGCTGTGAAGTGGCGCCGAATCAACTTTCGCGAGCCCTGACTTGCATTTTGCAATCACTTGCAAGGTGGCAACTGCTAGAAATCCAAGATAGCCTTACTAGACACGGAATTGAATCTGTAGACATCCTACATGTAAGGTAAAGCTGGTGTAGCGCACTGCCCTGCTGCTGCATTGCACCTAGCGAAGGACACCCCCGAGTGGCAGCTTTGGCAGAACGCCCCTGTTCCAGCAAAGCCGCTGGGGGGCGACCTTCCGCCCAAGCCCTGAGAAAGAAAGAGAAAAGGCAAGTTGCAATTCGGAACGAACGACGAATAATAATAATAATAATAGAAATATAAGCTAAATTTAGCTACTATACTAGTAGTTGTAGTTAGTCCGTTGATGCTGTCAGAAGTTTCATGGCATTTCGGCGTGCAGCTGTTCCATTTGTCAGGCCTCAGCGCAGTCAGGATGATCGGCTGCGTGGCGAGCGTCATTAGAGTCTACATTCGACCAGCAGCATGAACGCAGCTTGTTAGAAGAAGTCGAGCTTCTGATTGAGTTTTATATGCAGTGAGCATGAAATCTGACACAATGTTCAACAGATTCTGTTTTACAGGAGATCTCGGATATACTTGCCAGAAGCCAGGACACGAAACGGCTCTGAGAACGGACGAGCTGCACCATGACCAGACATGCCAGCGTGACCTTGGCATAGCTCCCTGACGTGGAAGCCGTGGCGACTGGAGATCTCCGCTCGCTAGTGTCAAACATGTCCAGCAATGCTCAGCAACAGCCACAATGTCGACGAGACCAAGTGCAGGCTAAATGGTGTTGCAGCCGTGTGAGGCCGCAAGCGGCTGGTAGAGAGACCTGGCAATTCGCGCAGCTGTAAGGCAAAAAGGCTTTGAGACTCCACGCCAGGGAACGCCTGTGAAAGCCATCTCTTGGGCAGACAAACTTCATGGCTGCTGGTAAGCCCCCCCCGCTCTCTGAAGGCACCTCCGAAGCTGCGCGTGTCCTTTGATGTGTGGTATCCTCAGCTCTTGAGACTGCCCTTACAACCACATATTCTGGTACATTGGTAACTAACGTAAAGGATGTTGGAGCTACAGAAGTAGGGTGCCACTTCAGAGAGGCTGATGTCAAGCGAGCGTACGAGGCGCATTTTCTGCACATATCTTTTTTTTGTCGGAATTGCTTCAAGGCTCCATGGAGACGTGTGGACTCCTGCAGCCTACAGCCAAGGACTGCATGTGCTCAGGTCTGAAGGGCTTAGACTGGTGTTCCTTGGTGCTGGCAGTTGTTCAGAAACGTCATTGTCGGTGATCTTACAATTGTTTGTGCCGACCGGAGGGTTCATTGGCACAGAGACGGCGCGAGCCGATTTCAAACGCCTCCTGCATCGAGACGGCGTGACCTCGAGCTTTGGACTTGTTTTGGTTTGATGCAGAGCACATGTCATTCTAATCTAGTGGCCAGCTGTATGGCTCCGAGTCAACCCGAGATTGTCTGATGCCTTCCAACTTTGGAATGTATTGGCTGGGGGGGGTGTCCAACACATTATTGTGGGGCTTCCTTAATCGGGGAATGCTCTTTGAGCAAGACCACAACGCATACTCGTACCAAGGATGACCAACGGCTTCATTTTCGCGGCTTTGCATGCAGATCTTGGCGCGAATACAAGGCATAATACTTGTAGATACTTGTAGGGAGCTGGCATGGCACTCTTGCAGCCGTAAACCTCCTCAGCAAAGCTGTGTTGAACGCTTTTGTGCTGCAGGTGCTATGGGAGGGTGCGTGGCATGCCATCTCTGTGGCATGCGCCTGGTCCCAGTTCAGGACACCAGCACTTCAACAACAATTCAACGACAAGCCAGCATGACTAGGCACAATGAACTGCTGTTTGGTTTCTCGTGCCTTGGGTGGAGCGAGCGCAAAAGGATTTACAGTGCAGTAACTGACTGAGGCGCTAGTCGACGAGATGCACAGAACCTTGGCAGCTCATGACCAGTTTATGGGCTATAACACACCTTCAGTTAAGCAATGGAGCCAGTTTTGGGACGAAGGCAGGCATGTCAAAGGGCATGTACTTACAGTTTTGACACACATGTCCGTGGTGGTCTCAAACAGAGTCCAGCCAGTAGGCAGCCAGAACCTCAGAACTGTTCAGCAACCGGAAGCTACAACTGAAGCGTCTTGAACTTGAGTGCTTGCGATACCAGGCCTGCACGTGCTAACCCCATAGTCCAGCTGCTGCGGAACCCGCCTGAAAGAAGATGGGTAAACCCTTCAGCTCTCACCCACACAGGCGGACATCAACAAGCCACAGAGCTAGTGGCGATCGCCCTGCGGCATCCACAGGGATCTCGCGTTGTGTGTCAGGACGGGAAGCCTCCATGCACCCAGAGCTCAATTCACTCAAAGTTGCACGTAATGAATCTGCAGACGCTGCACCAGTAAGTGTTAGTGACCTTGCAGGTGTGTCATGCGCGACCATGAATCCCACATAATCTAGCACAACGACTTTTGGAATAGGAGCCGCCTCGGTGTACAGGCCTGAGAGGTTCAGTCTTTGATTGTGCCAGTTGTGCCAGGTAGTCTTCAATGCACATTGTAAGATTAGATGCCCGAAGAGCGCCCAAGTCCCAGACGGGCATTTTGCAGTTGCTTTCGTTTCAGGTCCATGCCGTCGCTGTGAGTGCTGGCCAGCGCATCAGATGAGAAAACAAGATTCGCTGACCAAGCAATTGCCAGGATGCTTGCAAGGGCGGCTGGGAAGAATCACGCAAGAAAATGCGAGCAGAAGCAGCGCTGTAGAGCTGAGGTGAACTGTATGTGGCGGAGACCGGCAACCAGCGGGCCCCGCCCACAGCTCTGTAAGGTGGGAAGAGCTTTTTAGGTCCTTGCTTGGTTGAAGGATGCTGGGGAGCCATGGCCCGGTAAGATCTCATGCGAGGACTTCGTACGGGATCACACATTTTGCATGTCTTGAGTGGATGTGCCTGTCAAAGGCCCAAACTTTTGACCTCACCACCTGCTGCGGAACTGCGACACAGGCCGAGCTACTTGATGTCTAGTTTGGTCTCTTGACAGGAAAAGGTTCAGTAGAAGTTGATGAAACAGGCCTCAGCCATGCAAGTCTTCTTTCCGATGCGTCATCATTGCCCAGGCAGTTGGAGATATTGTGCTCGGCTGCCAGCCGCAGGACTTGTGACAGTTGTTCAAAAATCCGCTGAGTTCATGTAATCAGTAAAGTAAAGGGCAAGGCAATCTCCTGTGAGCATGTAGCTTACATACAGCTAGTAAGCAACAGAAGTGCTTTGAATGGTCGAGTTGCTGAAGTAAAGACCAGCCTCATGCTACGGACATTGTTTGATGGATGAGGAATGCTTGTTCGTACCGTCTTCCCTAGGAGCTCACGTGCTTCCTTGGCAGCTGATGCCTTACATGGCTGCCACTGCAAGGATTTTTTGCGTCAACAGGCGCAGATTTTTCAGGTGTGTCTAGGTGCACCCACAGCAGGCAGGCGTGATCACATGTTGCAAACATGTGAGCTCTTGGGAGGAGGGCCAAATCGAAGATTCTCAGCTGAGGTTATGCTATGGATCGCCTGAGGGCGCGGCTCCTGACCTTTGCATCCTACCTGGCGAAATGTTGGAAAGCACCATCTGGGTGAAGTCATGGGATAAGCAAGTGATGGAAGCCTTATCCTATTCGGCTCCTGAAGCCTTTTGCAGGCAAATGGACAGCCGGTGTTGCACGTGAGATAGATTTGAAGGCTCCCATGCGAATCGCCGCTTCCAGCCCGGCTCGCGGAGTGGCGCGTGCTTGTAGATGCTTTTTCTGAACTTAGCAGGTTGATTTCCTGCATTTTGCGTGACTATTGCCATCCATGGCTAGGTAGGTAGCGCATGGCGGTCGCCAGCACCAAAACACAGATGTCCACCGAAGTGTGCAGTGGTCGGAGCATTCACTCTGGTTAGCTTCGCTGAGGCGATGCTCTCTTTGTCGCGGACACGGATAACCATCGTGTGCTGAAGCAGCGCTCTTAGAAACTCGCACATGGTTTGGCTCAGCTCAGTGCTTTCTTATCCACGTTAATCGGGACTGCGCTTTGTTACCTCCGTCTTCCATGGCAAAATATCTGAGCAACCAATGCCGTCAGGAGTCAAGACATGTCAAGATTAGTGTCGACTTCGCAACAATACCGCCCCCTCGGTTGATCAATCTGTTTGGGACCGTCGCCCCGCAAGAAATGACACACTCTCGAGGCCTCAGGCCTTTCTCATAAACTGGAATTACATAAGCAATAGCACTTGTGGAGCTCTCAGCACTCTCTAATGGTAAGCTACAGCATTGAAGAGCCTTCAGGTTTCATTAATCGTTTTGTCAGGAGCGCTCAGGCATTCTTTTCAATTATTTTTGCAATAGGTTTTTGGTTCACTCAGCACTGTCTAATCACTTGAGGACCAGCATTCCAAAGCCTTGAGGCTTCTTTGGCTTTGGCCTCTCTAATTGCTTTAGCCTCTGGCTCAAGGAATGGCCGCGGCTCAAGGCTTCAAGATTTCAGTCAGAGCCCCTGGGGGTTTGTCCATGCCCAACCACAGTGTTCACTGACCACGGAATGGAGGAAGTCGTGGATGAGACCGAGACGTGAGTGGATCACTGAGGTTAGGAACAAGGCTTTTCAATTTGTAGGCAACCACCGCCAAATCGCCAGACTTGTACACAATCCGTTTGTCTGGCGTCATGCGGTGTGTCAGTTCTTACGTGTCCACGCGCCGCCTGGCGTATGACTGACTGATGGTTCTGATGGTGGATGAGAGTGCCGAGGCTAAGCTTGAGCTGCTACTACAAAGTCAGGCACCAGCTTCCACAGCTGAGCAAGATGCACCAGCTTGGGCAATCGAATTGAACAAAAGCCAGACGGGACAGCTTCAAGATTGATCACCAACATGGAAGGCTTTGCGCTGCCAGGTCAAACACTTCGAGCTCTGCTGGCACGAGCCGTGCCTCAGATACCTGAGCTGCAGAACGTGGTGCTCGAGTTCCTCCACCTGCCAGCCTGACCACACCTACAAGGCTGGGCGCGATCGATTCGAGCGATTGCGACGGCCGACCTCCTAATCCTGCCAAAGATGGCACTGATTGCAGTGGTTCGGGCACCACGAAACCGCTCATCGAGGCTAAGCCTATCTGAGCCTCAAACTTCTTGCCAGGGTACCCCATCGAAGACTTGACACATCTTGACAAGCACTGCTGTGTATGGTGGGGGGACCAATGTT